CTTGGGCCAGTGAAGCAACGTCCTCCACAACTAGACTGAAGAACAAAAGGACAGCAACTTGTCTGTTCCCCTTCCCCCAATTCCCCAGTGCTGTTCCCAACCCCTAATTCCCCAAGAAAAATCTTAAAAAACAAAACAAAACAAACAAACAAAAAAGACGGGCCCTACCGAAATATATTCCTTTAAACTTTGGGCTCATCTCCATGATTGAAGCAGAATTTTATTTTTCAAGAGTTTAAAACAACTATATTATATTTGTTGATGATTTGTGAACAGTAATATCATAATAATAATCTCACTCATAGGCAGAACATGTTAATCATTTGTAAAATATGAGCTCAGAAATACCAGGGAGGCAACTGCCCAGAAACAAAACAACTCCTCCTCCGCCCCCACCAAAAGAAACACAAAAAACTCCAATAACCTTTTCACCATTAACTGATGCCTGAAATTTCTTTAACTTCAGATTAAACCTTTCATAATAATAAAAATGACTACATATTGAGTATTTACAATATACCAGGAATTTTGAATGTGTTAATATTTACTGTTTTATGAGTTAAACATTATCTCTACTTTGCATATGAAGAAACTGAAGCTTGATTTGGTGAAGTAATTTGCTCAAAACATAGATCTGGGTAAGGAGGAGCTGGGATTTCCAGCTAGGTATTTAGACTGTAAGACACAAGCACTTAACAACAGCACTCTATGGACAGCTGTTCTACAGTTAAAAATTAGGTTTAACATATTTGGTTAAATTATATGAAATTGACATTTCTGTAAGTAAAATATAACCAAATGTTAGCACCTTCCTCTGGTTCAATGTAATATAAATGCCACAAAGAGTGCTTAGTAACTCTTGGTAGAAAATAAATGACTGACTTTGAAGGGGAGGAAGATTTGATGTAAGTGAGAGGTAGAAATCACTTAAAGAAGAAGAAAAATGAAAAAATGGGGGCTTGGGAAACTCAAAGACAAAGTTCTCCCACTTTATAATTTTCCGGAGGCCTGTTATGCCAGGGCAGTAACTGAGCTCTTTGCCTTGTAATCTTGCTTCTGAGAAGAGTCAGCTGGAGACCTGATGACCGCTGAGCATTGTGTAGATAGCTGTATAAATATTTCAGGTACAAATTAAAAGAATAAATTATCTGGAATGAATTCTTCCATTGCCTTTAAACAATATATATTTGTTTTTTTTTCTTACCTGGAGTTGGTAATAGGCTTCTTTTTCGGCTGGTCCCAGTTATGTGAGCTGCTACCCTCTGAGGTACTTGGTCTCTTGGTAGGTTGGCAACAATGTGTTGTTTTTCTAAAAGAGAAGCCACCGAGTCATCAGCCCTTGTCAAACGACCAATCAAATACTTTGCTCTTTAGAGCTGTTGTCAATCAGGCATTGTGAGCACACTGGTCTTCAAAAGTTGATTATTTGGGTTTTCATAAAAACAGCCTACATTTTAGTATGATGATCAGGTTACTTCAATTTATGTTTAATTTGCAAAGTACTTTGGATGGGCAGAATAAGAAGTCACCTGGGTTATACTTTATCAGCATCGCAGAGGTAATTATGGTGAATATAACAAAGTGAAGATTCTGGCCCTTTTCTGAAAATACCCAAACAAACAAATAGAACTGTGGATGTCTAATAATTTTGCTAAGTCATCTAAAGTGCACAGATAACCAGGTATTCACACATTTCCACTTTGAGTTTTTTATAGAGAGAAACAGAGTGATACCAATTTCATTGTCTCAATTATTATTATTATTTTTTGCAAACTACTGCAAATTCTAAAGAAATTGCAGTGATAACATTGTCCATAGATGCTACAAGCTGGTATCCAACAGTCATTCCCCCTCACCTGCCAAAAGGAACACAAATTGACATACTGATTACAATAATCAGTATAGGAGCATATAAATCGCTGATTCACTAGATCAGAATAAACAAATAACATTTATTGATCACCATCAAAGTACTTTGGAGCAGCCTTTAAAAATACAAATTCAACAAACTACTCCTTTTTAAAAATTAGCTCAAACTTTCCATGTGTGCTTACATTGATTATATTCTTTCATCAAGCAAATATTGCCATGGACTACTTCTATGCGGGCAGCAAAGTTTAATCATTGATTATACTGACTGAGTCCTCAAGGGACTTAAAAGTTCTTTTAGGGAAGATATGAAATAGAAAGTGAAAATTTACCTTTGAGAAATAGAAGTAAAGGGTAATGGCTAATCAGATGTGTCCCTATGTATTGGAGGACTGAGGTCAGGGGAGGGTTTGCGCTAAGGCCCTTTCATTCACTTACTCTAAAAAAACCAAGTGCCCATCAAATCTATGCCAGGCACTCTTTTAGGGACAAGGAAAAAGAACTATAAATAAATAAATGCAATAAAGTGTTTGAGGCGCAAAGATTATTATCTGAATAGGGTGAGTTTGGGCTGACTTAAGGGTTGAAGGGATGGGAGAAGGCCCGAGGTAAGATGCACAGAGCATTCCTGGGACACAGGCATGAGTGGAATTCTGGAGGCTTCAATAATGAGCCCAAATATAGAGGATCTGAATGTTAGGCTAAGAGATTTGGATTTTACAGGATGTGGGAAGACCTTGACAGGCGTGGTCAGGGAAGCAAAGAGATATGCTTTGTGCTTCAGGCTAACCTATCTCTCACAGTAAGGTTTGTTGGCTAGTAGGTGAGAGAACTGGAGACTGGCAAGTTACCAGACCATTATAATTGATCGGTACTGAGAACAGTAGGCCTTAATCTAGGCTGGTGGTAGAGGCAGCTCAAAGGAGGTGATAAATTCCATAGGGGGGAAAATGAATGGGAAATGAGAGTCTCTTCTCATTTCTCCTATTTTGGTGCTAATTGTTACTTATTCAGGATGGGTGGGCGTTTATATGGAACTGATGACCAAACACGGCATGGGGATGCGTAGTCAATTACATATTACTCTCAGATGCTCAGCTTTCAAGGCTGATGTGTCCATTTACTTTTAACCTCCACGGTTAAGTAATTCATAATGCCTTGCCTGCCCCAGGCCTTAACACTATGTTTTTGTTTAAATTTCAATAATGAAATCCAATTATAAATATCTGGCATTTGAAGTCATTGCAAGGATATGGGAAAATCTAGATTTGGAAGCAAATGCTCAAGAGAGGAAATTTCCAAATGATTGTAGCAAACACTTCCCAGAAAAGAAATGCAAAAATGTATATTGGGACTCATGGATACATCTCGGTACTGAGAAATACATGATTTCTACACCTTATAAAAAAGAGCATTATTCCGATGCTGAAGACAGTTCATGCATCTACTGTAGACTATGGATCTGGAGTGTCTCATCAGAAGAGGTGGAGTGTTTACCACTCTCACTACCAGTTTGCCTTTGGGAAAATGATCAGAAAGAATGCTTAGACTCTCTCCTTCATATTTAATCAAAGAAAATGAGGGTTGTAAAGTAATAAGAAGCTTATTGTATTGGAGAAGTAGGAAGACATCATTAATCATATACAAAGGGTGCCCAAAAATGTATGCACATTATAAGAAAGGAAAAATACCATTCAAAGTGTAATAATACTGATAACAAAAGATGAATACAAGTCATGTTTGACTTCTGCAATTACAAGAGGTGCCCAAAGTGGTTACCATCAGCGTCCAGACACTTCTGATTATGGCAAACTACTGCTTGAGCAACTTTTTTTAAAATTAAAGTTTATTGGGGTGACAATTGTTAGCAAAGTTACATAGATTTCAGGTGTACAATTCTGTAATACATCATCTATATATCACATTCTGTGTTCATGACCAGAGTCAGTTCTATTGCCATCACCATATATTTGATCCCCTTTACCCTTATCTACCACCCTCCTACCCCCTTACCCAGAAATAAATCCACATAAATATGGACAGATAATTTTTGACAAAGAAACCAAAAACATACAATGGAGAAAAGACAGCCTCTTCAATAAATGGTGCTGGGAGAATTGGAAAGCCATTCTTTTGCACGTGGCTTCCCAATTCTCCCAGCACCATTTATTGAAGAGGCTGTCTTTTCTCCATTGTATGTTTTTGGTTTCTTTGTCGAAAATTATCTGTCCATATTTATGTGGATTTATTTCTGGGTTTTTAATTCTATTCCATTGGTCTGTGTGTCTGTTTTTCTGCCAATACCATACTGTTTTGATTATTGTTGTGCAAGCTGAAGTCAGGGAGTGTGATGCCTCCAGCATTGTTCTTTTTTCTTAGGATTGCTTTGGCTATTCGGGGTCTTTGTGAGTCCATTCAAATCTGATGATTTTTTGTTTTATTTCTTTAAAAACTGCCATTGGGATTTTGATGGGGATTAAATCTGTATATTGCTTTAGGTAATATGGCCATTTTAACTATGCTGATTCTTCCAATCCATGAACACAGAATGTCTTTCCATTTCTTTGTCTTCTTCAATTTATTTTTAAAATGTCTTATAGTTTTCAGTGTATAGGTCTTTCATATCCTTGGTTAAGTTTATTCCTATGTATTTTATTCTTTTTGTTGCAATTGCAAAAGGAATTGGGTTTTTTATTTCTTTTTATGAGGTTTAATTGTTAGTATATAGGAATGCAAAGGACTTTAGTATGTTGATTTTGCATCCGGCAACTTTACTGTATTTGTTTATTGTTTCTAAGAACTTTGTAGTGGAGTCTTTAGGGTTTTCTATATATGGCATCATGTCATCTGCAAAAAGTGACAATTTACTTCTTCATTCCCTATTTGGATGCCTTTTATTCCTTTCTCTTGCCTGATTGCTCTGGCTAAGACTTCCAATACTATGTTGAAAATCTGCTTGAGCAACGCTGACCAAATTGTCCACTTGTATCACTGTGCATGCTGTTTCAGTTTCATCCTGAAGCACCACCAGTGTAGCCGGTTTGCTACGGTACACCACACCCTTTCAGGTCCCCCGCATGTACAAGTCAGAGGGTGTTAAGTCAGGAGAACGTGCTTGAATTTTAAATACCACTTCAAAATGGTCTTGTGCTCCTCAACTGACAACTGTGCTTCCACTATTTTCTTTGACTGTCCTGCCTGTTGCATGGCGACGCTAGCATTCATTTGATGAATGCCATCTTTTGAGTAAACATCATACTACATATTGCTACTGTAATTCAATTCAACTTTGAAAAGTGATACATGGATACCATCTTTTAAAATGTGTATACGTTTTTTTTGGTATCCTCAGTATATAAAACTGTTTCCTCTCTGCCATGCTGGTATGCCTCAGGACTGTATGAGGTCTGAGAATTAAGTTCGCGAACTTGTTGCAACGATGTTGCTAACCTTTTTTGCTATCAGAGGGATTATTCATTATGAATTTGTATCAAGAGTTAACCAAATTTACTATTTGGAAGTGCTGAAAAGGCTGCATGAAAAAGTTAGATGACCTGAACTTTTTACCAACAGTTCATGGCTGTTGTATCACAACAATGCACCAGTTCACACGGCACTATCTGTGAGGGAGTTTTCAGCCAGTAAACAAATAACTGTATTGGAACACCCTCCCTACTCACTTGATCTGGCCCCCAATGACTTCTTTCTTTACCCAAAGATAAAGGAAATATTGAAAGGAAGATATTTTGATGAAATTCAGGACATAAAGGGTCATATGATGACAGCTCTGATGGCCATTCCAGAAAAAAGAGTTCCAAAATTGCTTTGAAGGGTGGACTAGGCACTGACATTGGTGCATGGCTTCCCAAGGGGAGTACTTCGAAGGTGACCATAGTGATATTCAGCAATGAGGCATGTAGCACTGTTTCCAGGATGAGTTCACGAACTTAATTGGCAGACCTTCGTAAGTCTCCAGTATATGTACTCAGGACTGTATGGCCATTAGTATGGAAAAATGGGGCCACTGTGAGCCAAATGCCAAGAAATAGTAAATTTAATTCAGTAATTTTATTCACATATTTATTCAATCAAAAAATATGTGTTAAGACCTTTCTATGTAGAGATAGATGGTGTTGGCACAGCATTGTAAATGTGCTAACTGCTACTGAACTGTGCACTTTAAAATGCTTCATTGTATGTTAAGTGAATTTCATCTCAATTAATCAAAGTACACACACCCGCACACGCACACACATACACGTACCCTGAAGGTGAAGGTGGTGCAGATAGGATGGGGGATCTACTAGGCTTGAAGCATGGGGTTAGGTGCTAGGTATAGAAAGGTGAAAGAAACAGATATGTCTTCTGTCTTCGTGGATCTCTAATCTAGTAAGAAATCAGACTCTCTCTCTCTCTCTCTCTCTCTCTCTCTCTCTCTCTCTCTCTGTGTGTGTGTGTGTGTGTGTGTGTGTGTGTGTGTGTGTGTGTGTATGGAAATGAACAAGGTAACTGTGATAGAAATAGCAGGGTGCGGGTGAACTTACTTAGAAAGGTGTCCAGGGAAGTTCTGACAATTAGGTAATGAGGATGTTGGATGAGAAGGAGCCAGTTATGTGAAAAGCCAAAAACGAAAAAAGCCAAATGGAAGACCAAAGAAGCCAGCCTGGGTCAGGATGTGGGTCAAGAACAGGCTGCTGACCATGAATAGGAAGATGGCTGTGGCATGGGGACCACAAGATGAGTATCGTTATGGGTAGAAGGATTGTTAGGAAACGGATGATGGAGCAAGGGGCTTTTGCACAGAGCCTGGTGGTAGTCAGAAGCAGAGAAGGTAAGTAACTTTGAAGCCCTTATTTATCTGATTTCTAGCCATGTTCTAAAAAGGATTTAGATGGTTTATTTACAACTTCACGTAAAAAAGTAACGAATTGAAGAAACTGAGATAAAAGGAAAATCCATATTGAGAAATAAGATTCAGCCGAAATAAAGCTCTGGCCATAGGTGGGCCACAGACTTGGTTCTGAGCTTTCTAGCTACCAATGCAAAGAGGGAAATAGAATCAAGTAGCTTAAGACACTGATCAGCAAGGAGGTCGCAGGTGGGTTGTGTGCACGGGAGCAGAGAGAAAGAGATGGAGAGTTATTCACCCTGCCATGAAGCTGAAAGTAGAAAGTTAAAATAACAACAACAAAAATACTACCTGGAACTGTAGAAATGGTTTCCTCATAGGTTCTCAAAATCATCTGCAAACAGTATTGAATAAAGCTTGTTAAAGTTTGAAATTTTTAAACTGACTGTAGAATGTCTACGGTTCTTTTTTGCTGATGTCTAACAGGAAATGTCTATGTAAGATCTCAACCTGGGAAACTTTGAGTTGTTCAAACACAGAATTTGTGTGGGGTAGGTTGAGAGCTAGGGTGAATGCTGAGGCATCCATCCCCACATGGTGATCAAATAATGGTCCTCTGTCTGGGAAAGCTCTGTTTCTAGATTAAGTCTAAAAGATCACATGTGGAGCAGCACAGAAGGAAGAAGCCACCTGCCAAGTTAGGTCAGCCTCATGTTCCCTGGCCCCGCTTGTGGCTGATGGATGTGTTAAGCATGCCGCTTTCTCTGGGTGGGGTATGTGTGTGTGTCTGCATGCATGTGTGTAGATAAGTGCACTGTGTAATAGAGCCCAAGGGCTTTAAATTATTGAGCAGACCCAGGCCTCAAGGTGTAAGGCTCATTTCCTCTCTCATGATACCCACAGACATACACAGTGCATCAAGGTGTGACCTGCCGTATCGTGTCATTGTCTCATTTCTGAGAATGTGGCTGAGTCATTCTTAGCATAAAGATATTTTACCAAGTTCCTGTATTTTTACTAATCATCTAGTATCACCCTCTTGGTACTAACCAGTGTGAGGGGTGGGGGGGAAACACACAGAAGAAAGAGTGAAAACTGAGCCTTTCTATTAAATGGGCAGACCCTGTCTTGGTTCCTCCATGGCTTCTAAACTCCCCTCCATTCATTTCTGTCACCCTCAGGGGCTTTGGCCATCACTGCCCTCCTTTCCTGTCACTGTTGTTAATTTTGCAACTGCCAGAAACTCCCTTCCTCTATACTCCCATTCCAAATCATAAGCTCTCTGCTTCTCCACCCGCTTCAAGCCCTGGCTCCAGATGATGGGGAGACTGACTGCCTGTAGTCCAATGGGCATTGTTGTAGGTGTATGGGAAAGGAAAGCAAGCTATGGACTCAGCGCCCTCTCTCTCTCTCTCTCTCTCTCTCTCTCTCTCTCTCTCTCTCTCTCTCATCTCTCTATCTCTATCTCTATCTCTATCTCTCATGCCAGGACAGGAGGGAAGGAAGATGGAGAAGCAGCAGGAAAGAGAGAAGGGTAATTCCCACAGTGTGGGAGGAAGAATACATAAATAATTACAGTATGATCAGATGGCCTGGATTCAAATCTATCAAGTACTAGCTCTGGGAAACTTTTCTCAAGTTACTTAACTGATGTGAACTTGAACTTCTTCATCTAATTAAAAATAAAAAAAAGAGAGCCAGCCGAGTGGCTCAGTTGGTTAAGAGCTTGCTCAAGAGTTTGAGCTCTGAGCATAGCGGTTCGATTCCCAGCCCGAGCTGAGCAGACGCTAAGCTGCCAACAGGTGGCAGGATGGCTCAGCTTAAAAAAAAAAAAGAAAGAAAAAAAATAAAAAAGAGGGAGATAATGAACCCTTCCTCACAGAGCTGTTGTAAGAATTAAACGAGATAATATATGTGATGAGTATAAGAGGTTTACTGAAAATAGCCTCTTTAATGAATGGTGCCTAGAAAAAATGGGGAATTCCTTTCCCACTACACTCTCACCCACCCTTCTGCATCCTCTCCCAGCTTCTCTCTATTCTAGCTGGTGGCAGGACATGAGAATAGGAGGGAGAGGAAGAACAGCAGGAAAGAGATACATAAATCCATCCCCACTATTTCTCTTACCTCCCCACTCCCAGCGCCAGCATCCGAGCCACCTCTCCAGTCCCCAGATTTCTGCCCTAGTTCTGAGCTTCTCTCCCCTGCCCCCTGCAGGTTTGCCACCTCCTTAACCCCAGGAACTGCGGAGTCCCATTCCTTAGGTTCCTCGGGACCCTACCTCAACACTGGGCCTTTCCTGGTCCTTGTCACTTGGAGTGACAAAGTCACAACTGCCTTAGTACAGCATGTGTGCAGTGGGCGCCCTGCCCAGGCCATGCTTTCAGGGTGGCCCTGGAGCAGATGTGTTTGTAGGACTCCCAGGTGGAAGTTTGATTTCATTTCTCATAAAAAATAACATCATAGGTGACATCCGGGCTCTACTGTGAGGACTGTTCATGCTTATTCATTGGATCCCTAAGCAATGTAAACACTGGGTTTTTTTTTGGAAAATGAGACTGAGCACCAAACAATGGACTGCCAATCATGTCTTTCTAAGCACATCCTCCTCCTACCCTGGGAATGTCCTCAGTGTTTTTACAAACACTAACCGTGCTTCCTCTTTTGCAGCGCGCATGTCTGTGTTCTCATCTGACCTTTCTGGGTAGGTAGAAGGTAACTATTATTAAATGCCGTCTTACAAAGAAGGAAGCAGCCCGAGAAAAGAGATTTAATTTGGCATGTCACATTGCTGAAAGTAAAATTATGTGATCATATTTAGTGAAGCTGTGAGCTAACGTCATGTTTCTGCCAGAGATCCTTTTAAAGCAACTTCCATAAACAGACAATATTATAATTTGTCATTTACTGACTGTAAATTGAGATGTCATCACCTTCAATTTCTCAAAGTATCTCTTCCCTCTTCCTTCCTCTTTCTTCATCTCTATATGTATATAAAAATAAATAATATATTTTTAGAGATCAACACGTGGGAATATAAAGCATTATTACTTGACCTCTTTTGTCTTCTGAATAAAAGAAACCACACACACCCTTTATTGTTGTGCGACCTTGAACACATTGCTCTGCCTGTGCCTCAGTCTCCACAATGTAAAATAAAAGGTTAGACTAGATGGGGAGGCTCTCTAGAGTAGAGGCATGAACTCTAGACCAGGAGTCAACTGTGACCCGCTGTTTGGTCTGTTTCACCTTTTTCTAGTTCTATGAATTTGGGGGGAAATCGCTTCAACATCCTGGGCCTCTGTTTCCTCTTTTGCAAAATGAGGAGTCTAGACATGATGACCTGCAATATTCCTTCTCCTCCTACCTTCTATACTGGCGGGTGAGTTCCCTGGTAGTCCACCTACCTTTCGTAGTTGCCACTTTACTTGCCAGCAGGCGTTGTTCAGACTCTCTTCATCACTGGGGTCCCAAGAGCTGTCATCTTCATTTAAGAGACAAGCAATGCCATTTTTGGAGTACTTGTCCTGCATCTAAGATGAGATGGAATATAACACAATATTAACGCACACATGCTTTTTATGTTCGTTCATTTAGAAGTTAAAACTACAGAAACTGGTGACAGAGTCAGAGAAGTTTTGGCAACATGGATAAGCTTATGGCTTGAAATGGCAGTAAGCATGCCGCCCTGTGTCCTTTGAATGAAAGTAAACAGTTGGATATGGTGGAAACGATACATGTGTGAGCCAGGCACCTGAGTGACAATGCCCTTGACGGCCTCTGCCATTAAGAAGCTGTGTGCCTCTCAACAAATTGCTGCTTCTCTTCTGTGTCTGTTCTTCATCTGAGTTTTGAGCTGGTTCACCGTGGTGATTGTTGAGGTCCCTTCTAGTCCTGACACAGTGTGGATCCCGTTCTAATGCTGAAAACCCACCTAGATACAAAGTAGGCAGCAGAGTCTGTTTAAATTTAAGGATCCTAACCTCAATAAATTTTAATTAAAAAAAAAAAGTGAAGGATCCTAAATAAAAAAATAGCCAAACTGTTGGTGTTCAGATAACGTTCTGCTTCTCGATCTAAGCTTTGGGTGACTCAGAGACTTTAGTTACTGCTGTGATTTCTGCTTCTCTTGGATGGCAGAGTCTGGATCTCATCGCCACTAGAAATCTGAATGTTGCCTCATTAAATGTCCACTCTAGCTAGGGATTTATCTGCAGTGATTTGAAACACCACTTGAAGGTTTGCTACTTCCTCCTCACTGAGAACAAACATTTATAATGGCCAGACCACTGTATTGTCAACAAAGTTTTTGTTCCATGTTACACACACACAGAGAAGAAGGTTATTCCTACAAAGAAAAACAGGAAAGAATGCAAGGTCAAAGATTTTTTTTCTTTTCCTGTTTTTTTATTTTTTTTAACAACTAGGGTTAAGGAGATGTTATGTCCTTATACAAATCTACTTAATTGCCTTTCTCCGGGGGAAATAAGTGGGAACATGGCCATTTTTATTTGCTATGTGGACTTAGGGGACCCCAAAGCATGAAGGAAGAATCAAACTTAAATACGACCTGCTTTTTCCCATAGGAAGACAATCTCAGCTAGAGCCATGCGGTTCTGTACTCAGTGTGTGCCCCTTGGACATTTGATCAAGGTCCCTGAAGTGCAAAAATATAAACCTGGGTTAATTAATAACACACACTCTGGCATAAAAAATTCATTTACCTTTAAACATTTCTTTTCTTTATTTAATTACAAGAGTAAAACATTCTCCTAGTAGATGTAGTGGGGGTGACAGCTGGGGCCACCAGAGTTGAGGTATCACTGGCAATGGAATTAAACAGCGTTGTTTTGCCCCTGCTCACCCTATAGTCTTCTATTACAGACATTTATTTGCATCTGCAGTTTACATGAGAGCTGGGAAGGCTTTCCAAAGAAGAAACTCAATTGCACATGGTTTAGAAATATGAGAACTTGTCTAGCAAACATGCTATTGTTTGTGCAATCATATTTTCCTGAGACCTTTAGCCTTGCATTTCTTTGCCAGATGGCAGATTTGATGTTGCCTTATCCCATTGTAGCAGGATGCAGTGTGCATTAAAAAGAGCAAATATGATGAACTCTAAGGACACCCTGTTGTAGAATTATGAGCGTTACCTAGGAGTCAGGTAAAGACGTGGCTCCAGCTCTTCTCCCAAAGCCATGTGTGAACTCAGTTATTTCCCTGGAGGTCTCTAGTGTCCTTATCTATGAAAGAGGGGGTGGGGAGTGTCCAAAGTTCTGTCCAGCTCACAGTTCTTTATAATAAACAATTCATCAAAATGTAGATAAGAAGCCAAAAGCTGAGTTGGTTTATTTTCAGCAATTTTGCACTCATAGTTCTAAAAGTTTTGTATAGTTGAGAAATACACAGTTAAAATGGCACGAAGGTTTGTTTTTATTTCCTCTGTCAAATCTACCTGGATTCATACCTAGACCATCCACAGGCATAGAATGGTCATTTTATTTTCAATTATTTTATAGTGAACAGTAAGATTCTGAGTCCACCTGATAAGCACTATACTACAGATTTTTCCCATTACCTGCCTGTGTCCAAGGAATAGGCGGAATCCTAGTCCTTTATATTCTCACTATTGTTACAGAAATGTCACAGACCTAAAACCCAAACATTTCAAAGATCTGATTTGTCCCCAGCCCGTATCTTGGAGGAAGAAGAAACCTGTTGACATTCCGTGAATTGGTTTCTGATGTTAGTTCATATGTGTGTAATTCTAGCTGCTAACTTCTGAAAGTCTGACGTGTCTCTGCAAAGGTGTCTCACCTAATAATTTCACATATTTAAAAGGAAGGTGTGGGGAAGAGCCCTGAAGCCTGAGGAGAAGCCATCAGTGTGTAAAGAGCACTTCTGTCTGCAGAACCCAAGTCTTGTCTCCTGCAACATCTGCCTGGAAACCCACTGGATTATCTACACCTGGATCATAAAACAATAGCACTGTTGTCAGTTTTCCAGAGCCTGGCTTTGCGTTGAGCTCCAACTCCACCCTGCTCCCTGTGTGCTGGTGGTACCACAACATTTATGAAGGTTAACCAACACACTTCATTCCACAAGTATTCAGTGAACACCTGCTATGTTGGAGCCATATGCCAGCCCCATAGGCAAACTGGTGAGCAAAAGCAGCCCAAGTTGTGCCCTAATGCAGCTACTCTACCCCCTTAGAATCAGAGTTAAGAGCTAGAAAGCATTTATCAGAAAGCACTCAATGAATGACAGCAACGGCTAATATTACAAAGTATATATACTGTGGAAGACGAAAAACTACCTCAGGAATTTTGCTGCCTGCATCTGCTAGTAACTAGTGGGACCAGTTCTGCAGCTTCATTGTTCACACAATCCCTGGCACTTACACATTTGCAAAGTCCCCAGTAACCCTATGCGTTAGCAGGTAGGGTCCACAGGCAGAGGAAAGAAACATTTCCTTTCACTGTAAAGTCTTGAAAGAGGAGCAAATAAAGAGGCAAAGGAGAAGCAGTTAGTCCTGGGAGTGCTGACAGCCTGTGTGCATTGTACTGACCTGCTTCAGCTGGTTGCTGAAATACATGTAAGTCACGGCCATGCAGAGGGACTGCAGGAGAGCTGTAAAGATCAGCACGAACACGCAGGTCATCCCGAGGCTAGGGCCCCCCGAGGACGGCATTGAAGCCATGGTCCTGTCTGGTCGGCTGCTGCGGAGTCTGCTGGGCAGAATGTTGCTGTTCAGAAACCAACGACTGGTTAGATGGGTGGAGCTATGTTAGTTTCATTTACTTGAAAATAAGCAAACCTGAAACTGAAAGATCCTAAAGAAGCCGAGGACTTTTAGCAGTTCTGAAGAAAAGCTCTCTGCATTCTATACCAATGTCATGGTACAAGGAGGCAAACACACCTTGCAAAAGTCCTTGTAACCCAGAGGGCCATGTGAGGCTTAAATCCAACAGCTCCTTCTCCATGGCTCAGGCAGGGGCTATTGGGTCCTGCAATGTGCCTTTGCCCAGCAACTGCCAATTCTTAGGCTCCCACTTGGCATCTCACCCCAGCAGCCTGTTGCTGAGAACAGATCACAGAACTGTCCAGTGTGAGGCCACACTCGGCTGAGGAGATGTTGGCTGCATTGGAAAATGATCCCTTGTCACCTATCCATGACTCACACGCAGCAGCTCAGTGCAAACAGATAATTATTTTGTTTCCATGACTTGGCTATTGTAAATAGTGCTCCAGTGAACATAAGGGTGCAGATATACTTTTCAGTTAGCGATTTCATTTCCTTCAGATAAATACCCAGAAGTGAAATTGCTGGATCATAAGACAGTTCTATTTTCGATTTTTTGGGAAACCTCTATACTATCTTGCATAGTGGCTGCACCAATTTGCAATCCCACCAACAGTGCACGAGGAGTCCCTTTTCTCCACATCCTTGCCAACACTTGTTTGTTAATTTATTGATGATGGCCATTCTGACAGGTATGGGGTGATATCTCTTTGTAGTTTTAATTTGCATTTCTCTGATGATTAATGACATTGAGCATCTTTTCATATATCTATTGGCCATCTGTATGTTCTCTTTGGAGAAAAATCTCTTCAGGTCCTCTGCCCATCTTTTTAATTCGATTGTTTGTTCTTTTGATGTTGAGTTGAATGAGTCTTTTATAAATTTTGTATATTAACCGCTTATCAGATATATCACTGGCAAATATCTTCTCTTATTCAGTAGGATGTCTTTTTGTTGTGTAAACCCTTTTTAGTTTGATGTAGTCCCATTTGTTTATTTTTTCTTTTGTTTCCCTTGCCAGAAGAGATATATCAGTAAAAATATTACTAAGGGTTACATCCGAGAGTTTACTCCCTATGTTTTCTTCAGGAGTTTTATGGTTTTGGTCTTACATTTAAGTCGTTAATCCATTTTGAGTTTATTTTCATATATGGTGTAAGGAGGTGGTCCAGTTTCATTTTTTTGCATGTATCTATCCAGGTTTCCCCAACATCATTTATGGAATAGACTGTTTTTACCCAATTGTCTATTCTTGCCTCTTTTGTCATAGATTAAATGACCATATAGGTGTGCGTTTATTTCTGGGCTCTCTATTCTGTTCCACTGATCTGTGTGTCTGTTTTTTGTGCCAGTACCATGCTGTTTTGATTACTATAGACTTGTAATATAGTTATGGTTCCTATATCCGTTTTTATGCTTACTCTCTTTTTGTTGAAGTTCTCATTAAGTTCCTTATAACCAGTGTTTTGAACCCTCAATCTCGTAGATTGCTTGCCTCTGTTTCATTTAGTACTTTTTCTGGAGTTTTCTCCTGCTCTTTCATTTGGGACACATTTCTTTATTTCCTCATTTTGTTTCTATATATTAGGTAGATATGCTATGTCTCCCAGTCTTGGCATGGTGGCCTTATGGTGTAGGTATTCTGGTGGGTCCAGTGGCACCTTCTCTCTGATCACCTGATTTGGGTGCTCCACGAGTGTCCCTTGTGTGGGTTGTGTGTGCCCTCCTGTTGTAGGTGAGCCTTGATTACTGTTAGCACATCGGTGGGTCAGATTGGCCCTCAGGCTGTCTGGCTGTGAGGACTGACCATGACTACAGTGTATGGGCTACTGTGTAGGGGCTGACCCCACAGCAGGATTTGCCCCATTGGGCCCTGGTACCTGCCAGTACCACCTTTTGGGTGTGCCACTTGTGGAGCTAATCAGGTGGTGCTCTGTCGTGGTCTAAAGCTGGCCATTGAGTGTTTTTCTGGGGCCTCTTGGGAGGGGCTCTGTTGCAGGTCATGGTCAGCTGCTGCCTGTGACGAGCCACAGACTACCTAGTAAGAGATATAAAGGGATCTATGGTTCATAGCTGCCCATGCTGGATCTGGGGGTGTGTGGGAGAGGCCATGCTACAAACTGAGCCTGGCTGCTACCAGTGCTGGGCCTGGGCAGCTTGGCAAAAGGCACAGGGTACCCCAAGGCCTGCTGCAGCCTACCAGCTGCAGCCTACCCATAAGACTCAGCTGCTGAAAGAGCCTCGGGTGGTACACCAGTTGAGTAAGGTGAAGTGTCAGGGAGTCACCAAGGTGGAGTGAGTGGCATTCACCAGGTAAATGCAGGTTCAGATTTGGTGCCAGTGCTGAGTCTGAGGCCATTCAGCAAACATCACAGGGCACACTGACGCCAGCAGCTGCCTACCTGGGGCTGTGCACCTTTGAGTGTTTTTTAATAAAGACTGCAGCATGGGCCAAGGCTGGCTGCCTGCTGCTGAAAGAGCCTCTGGCGACACGTGAGTTGGGTACAGCGGAGTCTCAGGACATCCTCGGGGTGGAGGGAGTGGAGTTCACCAGGCTAATGCAGTTTCAGGTTTGCCCATGTAGTGGTGAGGGCTCATCACAGGAGAGATGGTGCCTGCCTGCCAGGTGTGTGAGAGGAGGACTTAACACAGGGAAAATGGCAGATGTCCCTCCTGTCCTCCCTCTAAAGCCGCACAATTCAATGTATCCCTATATGTCTTTAGCACCACCTGAGCTGCTAATTTCTCTGCAGGAGCCCAGTGTAAGTGCCAGTGAGCAAGTGAGCCTATGTGTGGGCCCTTTAAGGGGATGCCTGGATTTTCCAGCTGCCTTCTGTCTCACCAGGGCTGATGAAATCCCCGCTGGTTTTCATAGCCAGATGTTGGAGGGGCTCCCCTTTCTGGCTCTGGTGCTCTGGGCTGGGGAGATCGGTGTGGGGCTGGGACCCCTCACTCCTCAGAGGTGACCCCTGATGTTGAGATATCCCTCCCAATCCTCAACCACCACACGTGGGTGGGGTCCAGCCCATTCTGCATCTTTGGGTAAAAGAAATACCTACAAACCACTGTGAAATGTGCAGGAAGTCAACATCTAGACCTTGGGAGTGAGGAGAGAAATCAGAGTCTGGAATGTGAAGGATGAAGAGGCCCAACCTGTGGTTAGGTCAGCAGAGAAAGTGAGGGGTAAGGGTGCTTACAGGTGTGGTACAGTCAGGGGAGGTCCACCCACTTCTATCTTTTGAGGCTCCAAATGTACTGAAATATGAAGAAAAGGCTACATAGGGTTTCACAAGTTGTGATATCTTTTAAATGATAATTGTAAGTTAATGCTTTTAACATAGAAGAAAATCAAAAGACTGTATGTCTAACTTTATATGGAGATGACATCAAATGTTCCCCTTGAGGTCCTTTGTGAACGTGAAGTCCAAGGCGAACAGCAGTCAAGGCCCCCTCAGCCCTCTCACAGTCTGAGGAAGGAGGAATGCTCTTGACTGTTGTCACTGTTTAAGAAGACAAGTCCTGGATAGTCCAAAGAGGACGAGAGCTGAATGGAGCTGAGGTAGACCCAATCTACATTTAGAGCCAAGGTCAGCTGAACACAGCCTGGATCAGAGGATTCTCAGGCAACCCACAGAGAAGTGAGCAAAAATACATAACATTGTTTGAATATACTGACTACAGGGCATTATGGTGGCAATAGATAACTGATAGAACCTAAGACTGGGGATCATTTAGGGCACTGTCAGCTGCAATTAACAGAATGTTCCTAAGAGAACAAAATTTCAATTGGGTCTTTAATGTCAACTAACTGAAGCAAATTCAGAGACATTGAAACAGAAAAAGCAATTTATTTAAAGGATTTGGGGTTATTAGAATCTTGGTGGTGTTTGGAGCTATCAAATACCAGGAGCACCACCAAAATCTACCCCCACAGTGATTCTTGTAACACTAGTACTGCCACTATCACAGGATACATACAACCACAGGCGTCACCCATACGAGATATCTGATGCTACTACTAGAGCCAGATAGTGGTGTGTCTAAAAATTGAACATGGTGGTCACTAGCCAAAACCTGCGGAACAGAAATGATCAACCTCTATTTCTGCTTCATGGAACTTCATGTTTATTGTTAGATTCTGATTTATGTGTGTGTTTAAGCATCTTTTTGGTGGAGACTAAATCATGTTGAGCACAAACTTCAATGGAGAATGGGAAGGTGAGCATCTAATATTTTCAGCTTCTCTGGTGAAAAGTGGGCTGTTCATAAAGTGGGGAGCTCCTAACATAGGAAAGAGGTTGCATGCTGGCCAGACACTTCAAACGGAATTATCAGCTCACATATCAGTACATCTAGACTAGATGTAGGGCAGGTGTCCTTAGTGTGTGACCCTGGAAATCCAGTATCATGCACTCGTGTTTCTTCTCAGCACCTTCCATAGTTTGGCTTTACCCGAATGCTGCTCCTCTCAAAGTTATTTCTAAGGTCTGAATGTTTATGTCCCCTCCCCTGCCCCCACACACTAAATTCATATATTAAAATCCTAAGCCCCATAGTTGATGATATTTGAAGGTAGGGTTTTGGGGAGGTGATTAGGTCATGAGGGTGGAGCTTTCATGAATGGGATTAGTGCTCTAATAAAAGATTCCCCCACAGAGTTTCCTAGCCCCTTGCACCATGTGAGGACACAGTGAGGAGGTGTCAGCTCCGGACCAAGAAGAGGGCCCTCACCAAAATGCGACCATGCTGGTGACTTGATGTTGGATTTCCCATACTACAGAACCATGAGCAATACATTTCCATTGTTAATAAGCTACCCGGGGTGTGGTATTTTGTTACAGCAGCTCACATGGATTAAGGCAGTTATATAATAGACATCAGCAGAAATTGGGCCTATTATGTTTTCTTGTTCATATCTAAAAGTGAGAAAGATATGCTTCCGCAGGCACACTCTCAATCCTCCCTCATCTCCTTTTTAAAATTTAATATGGATCACATTTTCCTTTCTCTTCACACTTTTAGAATTTTGGGTTATATACCAGACATTGTCAATGATTCATTGTATAAACTGTGGATTCTGTAATCTTCCCCTGAGGTGTGTTGAGTGCTTTTTTTTTCTAGTTGGCAATTAAATTACAGATGGTAGGTCTAGAATAAAGCCTAGGAATCTTCTTTTTATAAAACGATTGACCAAGTAGCTTG